TTTCAGCATCCCTCAGTTTCGTCTGATGAGTGTGCGTTCCGGAGGCCTAATTAAGTCCTTTTTCCTTAACCACACTTTTTCTTATAAGGAAAGGATTGGAAGTGGACTTTCCGGATGAGAGGATACATGGGAAGGAAAAATATTTTCTTTCTGTGCATCCTCTCCTCCGTCGATTAAAGGTAGGCAACGCATATGCAATTGCGTATGTCATGGGCAACGGTTACTTCGCTATTTCAGGTGGCCGCTCGCTCGTTTGCCACTTTATAATATAAATATAAAAAATACTAATTAGCGCCAGTGAACCATAACAGTCTATAGTCGGTCAGAGCTACTGTACTGGCATTATGTAAATCAGAGATAAAAAACACCATTCCAGTACAAACATGTCAAAGCAGTTGTGGACAGTTCACCGCCGCTCTATGATTCTCGGATTTTGGCGCGAAATCTGCCAAAATGGTGGCGGAACGTCCTCGATGTGGCGCTCGAAAACACGCGGCTAGTGATGGCTATTAAAAGGACGCATTTTAATCGAGTTAGTTTAATTTTTTTGCATTTTATTAGGTTTGAAGGATCTTTATTCATCTTAGTGATATATAACTAAGGAATAAATAACATAATTATAAGTAAATAAGTATAATAAAAATAGATTTACCCTCAATAAGTTCATATTGTAAGATTTAGGACAAAAATATTTCCTCATAGGGTAAAGTGGACAGTTATTGGACAAAACGCCTTCATCACACCAACATTTACTACGACAACCGGGTGAACTTCTTCAAGAGAGTACAAAGGGACAATAAGGCTTTGTACACGCGCTTACTTAACGCTGTAAGTAAAAAACGACGTATTCAAATGGTTACGTATCATGTAAGAATTTAGACTACGCACTATACGTTTCAAATTAAATAAAAAAAAGTTAAGAAAAAATATTTTTAGACTTAAAAGACTAATGATGAGAGCTTCTATAATAGTTTACGATATTATTAATTTAGATGGAAGGATGGATGTTTATTTGAAGGTATCTCCAAAAAGGCTGAACGGATCTCTATGAAATTTGGCATATAGAACATAATCTGGAAGAACACATAAGCTACTAATTAAGGTTTTTTTTTTAATTTCGCGCGGTTGGAGTCACGTGCAACAGCTAGTATTTAATATATTTACTCTTTATACATTTACTTCCTTCTCAATGCAAAGATTCCCCGGATAGCAACAACAGCGGAATTAGAACGCGACTGGCAACGCAACCGACAAGAAATACTTTACAAGGCCGTCAACAAGTTTGTTCTCTTCCCTCCAGTGCCGCAAGAGACAATCGAAGACGCCATCTTTTTAAAACCATCAGGTGTAAAACGACAAAGGTAATGTATCTTGTCACAATGTAAAAAATATAAAAAGTTCACAATAACTACATTAATAATAACCAAAATCGATTTAAAACAAAATAATCATCGATTTTTTAATTCACATCCCTAAATACCATAGATAGAACTGTCAAAATATGTTCTATTCTCTGTTCCAAAGTCATTAAACCATAGACACATGAAATAATTTAAATCTATAGCAAGTCGGTAGTAAGAAGCAGTTTATTTGAATTCTTAAAAATCTTAGTATTTCTTAAGATTATAGATTGCAATTAACTTTTATATTGAATTAGGGTATATTTGAGTTTACGGTTTCGTGGCGGTGCTGTAATCGGCGTATTAAAAGTGGAACTGTTTGAGGAGGTGTGCCCCGAAACATGCAGATTATTCCTCGAATTATTGGACGGTGACACTGGCTACGGATACATTGGGACCTGCTTTTTCAGGTAACAAGGCTTTTTTATGCTGTTGTTAACTTAATTAACTAACCGGTTAAGTTTAGTTGCGATTATTTATCTTGTAATACCGGCATCTTGTTAAGTTAATAAGCTCTGAAAGATTTGCATGACATAAAATAATATCGAGAAAATAATAAATAAATTTTATTTAGAAATGTTTTTACAAATAATACTTTCGATTATCTGTTCGCAAATAATACAATACCTCTTTGGTAAAAAGTTATAAAATCTTTTTGCGTTGAAAAATATTTAGATCGATTTTGACAAATAGTGGTTGACATCGAGTCCGAATACAAAAATGTAGTCAAATAATGGTAAAGCTTGTTTGGTGTCTTACAGCGTTTTTTACGAGTATAATTTTATTTCTTTTATTAATGTACACGGGTGTGATTGATGTGAGAGGAGAGGAAACATAAAACACAATGCTGGTGTCCGGAACTACTATACTGGGGACCGAGATCCTTTTGAAGATCATAAGTCCGGAGGGCCACACGTTTAGTGCGTCCTTCGTCGACGAGACGCTAATCGAAGATATCAAGAATCGTGCCATCGACTTCTTTTACCCGAACGGCGAGCACGGAGCGAGCCGGTACAAGCTGATCCGAGTGTACGACACAACCACGCTGCACGACTTCCTGACGTTAGCGCAGGAGCAGTTGGCCATGCAGGAGGAGCTGCTGTTGGTAGAGCGCCGTCTGCCTGAGGCCGGAAACCTTTGGGACCTGGGCGCCGTACGTGCGCCGCAACAGACGGCCATCGCTGCCGCCACCGCTTCGCTGCCGCCTCCGCACAGCACCGTGCGCCAGCCCAACCTGCAGGCGCTGCTCTCCACAAACGAGCTGACCTACGAGTTGCGCAAGATCCTCATATCGCTGATCGAGGCAGGTGCAAGGCTCGCTGCCGCCGGCAGGAACTACGAACTAACGTTAGCACAGCTCTCCGCCGCGCTAGACGAACCGCAGCGCACTCGTGAGCTGGACGCCCAGGTCATTACGCCACAGGAGATCGCGGCGCGCTTCAATGTGCCGCAGCAGGACGCATCCCCTCCCGCCGCCGGCGAAGCGGAGGGACCATTTAGACGCGCCGCACACCTCCAGCGCTTCCTTGAAAAATTCCGTACTTGGAGGCTAAAGATAGCGGAGCCGCCCAACGCGGAGGCACTCGCGGCGCTCAATGACCTTGGGTTTACTTCTGAGGAGGCGGACGAGGCGCTGCGCTGCACCGGCTGCAACGTGCCCGCTGCCGCCTCCTGGCTCATCGGGGAGCGCGGCTCGAGCGTGTTTGAGTTGGTGAGCGGCCTGCCCGACGGCCTAATCCTGCAGACACTGCTCAAGCAACCACAAATCCAGCGCGGGCTGCTCAATACGCGCATGCTGATAGCCTTCATCGCGATGGTCGGTCAGACTGGCAGCGCCGCACTGTGGCTCAACTCTCCTCACGGCAGCCCCCTATTGTCGCAGATCTCGCGCACCTACCACTCGGAGAAGTACTGTCTCGCTGTCAACCAGTTCTCCAATGAGCGACCTGCGCAGCCAGCAGCGCCATCCACCTCCAGACAAAGGCGTTGATTGCAATTCTTTTAATATTTTCTAATAAATTGTTATAATTTTTGTAATACATTTTTGCTTTCCCTTCCTGATCCTTACCTTATACAGAACTTTCCTAAACTGGCGTCTAAAATTCATCAAGTTTCTTCCAGTGAAAGTTCCGTTGAATCGGTCCAGCAGTTCCGAGATTACGCGGAACAAACGGATTGACACTTCAATTTGATTAATTATATAGATTTCATGAGTTTGTTTCAACCATAAAGTGTGTGTGAGTAGGAAGGTGCCAGGCCTGTTCTGGCGGGGCGGAGACGTGGCGCGTGACTGTGGCGGCGGTTGCTACTTGCAGCGCGGCCGGTACGTCCCTCTGCCCGCAGAGAACTATCACTTCCCGCACTCCATGCCAGGTACTGTACTACACTTAAGTATTCATGTACAACTACTGTTCTTAATATATGGTTAAGGTGGCAAACGAGCGAGCGGCCATCTGAAATAGCTAAAATAGCGAAGTGACCGTTGCCCATAGACATACGCAATTGCATATGCATTGCCTACCTTTAATCGACGGAGGAGAGGATGCACAGAAAGAAAACATTTTCCCTTTCCATGCATACTCTCATCCGGAATGTCCACTTCCACTTCCCATCCTTGCCTTATTAGAGAAAAAGGGTAGGAAAAGAAAGAGGACTAAATTAGGCCTCCGGAACGCAGGTTAAGTTAGGTTAGGAAATGATAATTTTGCTTTTTTCCGTCTTAAACGCACATGTTGATGTTACGGGGCAGTTAAATCTATCTATATTAGAAATTAGAATCCACACCAAAGCTATAAACCGCTACCATCAGCGTCAAAATGACGAAAATCAAATAGGTACAAACATTCCATCTTATAGCCAGACCATTTATAAAGGCCATGGTCGAAATCTATCGACTTTTAGAAGTTTTTTTTTATCTTAATTGCAAAAAAGAAATCTTTATTCATCTCAGGTCTGCTGTCGATGTGCGTGACGCGCAACAATGAGGTTTGCGGGATATTTAACATCACTTTCAAACCTTTGCCACAGTTTGACCTCAATAACGTCGTTTTTGGCAGAGTGAGTATTTAACTCGTTTAATAGTTAAATCAAGCTGTACTCATCTTATCCCCAATCAAGTAGCTTCTGAGTATTTCGTCTTCCAGATCGAATTATCTTCCGTCTATGCAATAGATTAAATCTTACTAATATTATAAATACGAATGTTTGGATAAATGAATGTTTGTTAGAAGGAATCTCCAGAACGGCTGTATAGATCTGGTTGAAATTTGGCATAGATGTAGAACATAGTCTGGTAGAACACATAGGCTACTTATTAAGTTTTTTTTATAACGTGCGGACGGACTCACGGGCGACAGCGATGTTCTAAAATCGAAAATCTTAATCGATTTTTACAAATAATCGATTCAAAATATGACCTTTTTCAATTTCTGAATCGTGTTTTTTATATTGTTTATTCAACTGAGAAAACGTTTTTTTTTCAGATTATTCGCCCGTGCAATGTGTACGAAGCAATTCGCGGTTTGGGCGACGCACTGAGCACTCAGCCCGTCGTGGAGATAGCGTCCTCAAGGCGCTTCGTCAATAAAAAATGGAAGAGCGGCGTAAAGAATACAAAATTAGTTGCTTTAAATACAAACAAACGAATTTAAAATGAACTTTTATTAATTAAAGCGATTTAACACTATGGACTCTTTTTCGACGTATTGCTCAAAAAAAAAAAATTCAAAATATTAGTTTATACGGAAACTTTTTTACCATAATTAATATTTTAAAAACATTGCCATCTCTTGGTGAATAGCTTAACTTTACAATGTTTTAGTTTTGACGTTTTTAATGTCTCCAATTAGAATTTTTGGTGCACAGTGCCATCTATTATTGAAAAGTAATACCAAAACTTCAACTTTTCATCAACAGATGGCATTTTGGAGAATCAAGTGCCATCTATTGTCCAAAAGCTGATTTTTTTTACAGCTTTACATCAACAGATGGGAGTCCTTGTTTCCGGTAAAAAAACCGGAAACTGGGACTTAATATTTCCATCAACATATTACAGGTTGACAAGACTCGTGTCCGATTCTCGCAGTGCCAGGTAACTTTGTCGGTGGTCGTACCAATGACCATTGCAAAAGTAGAGCTGTTTCCATGACCATAGAAGATTGCTCGATCAGTGGAATAAGGATGGGAATTTGCAGAATGTATTACGCATAATAATTAATTTATGTAATATTGTATAAAATATTGATCTCTACCAATAAATTTTTAATTAACCTGAATTAGGTAGTTTTAATATCCTGTGTCCTGGTTTTTTTTAAATTTGTTAATTGCATTCTTATTTTAAACTTAAATTAAAAATGAAACTACAGTTGATCCTTATTTTTATATATTATTGGATATTTCAGAAATGTATTTCTATCTACGTACAAAAATTACATTATTTTTTTCTTTAAAAGTTATCCAAAACATATGTTTAGAAATTAAACACATCTTAATTAAAATCAGTCTATCCAACAATTTGAATATAATGTTATCGACTTTGTGGAGGCCAAAAAAGTTCATCGTCCTCTGTTTTATTTTTCAAATGTCTGAAGATTTTCCTGAAATAACAGAAAACAATTAAAATATTAATTACTTCAAGTAATATAAGTAATTTTAATAAAAACTCTGGGAATTAAATGGTTCTAACACCTCATTCTTAAAAAAAAATCAGCAAAGCTACAGGGTGTCAGGCATAAAACTTAGACTTTAAATCGTGTGGACATCTCACCATATCGTCCTGGGCACGTGTCCCCAGTCATGTGGCACGCGCGCCAGCACGCGGCGCACATCTGGTGCGGGGGGTGCAGTATTGTCGTCACCGGCGGGTGTACCCCCCGTGCCGGGGGTCACGTCGCGCACTGTCACGTGACTGGCGCGCGGCCAAGCCAACTCACGTGCGTCTTCTACCACCAGCTCGATGCGCAGCGTCACTTGCCAAACACGCCGCGTATGGAAATTCGCCACCTGCATTACATCCAACATTTATAATCATGTAATAAAAAAAACAAAGAACAAGGTAACTGAGTGGTACTCACAGTGAGCAGTATTTTGCCGCAATGTGCAAGCGTGAAGGCGAGGTGGGCGCGGGCGTCGGCCATGAGACGCGCCCAGCGTGCGGCGGCACGTCCCACGCCCACACACCGGCGCAAAAGCGCGCCCACACCGCGCCCTCCACCGCACCGCACACACTCGTACCGCATCGCCTCACAGGCTAGCCGCACGCTCGCGCACGCCACAGCATCCGACTCTGAAAATACAACGAAATTATTATCTAGCAATATCTTTCATTTATATTTTGACAAATTTCATGACATACTGATGAACCTAATTAAAAATAAAACTTAAAATTGCATAATATTTGTATGGGTAAGATATGTTACCTTGATGCACTGGCTCTATGGTGATGCTGATGAGTGGGGCGTCGGTTCGTGCAGGAGGTGAGGTAGGGGCGGGGGGCGGCAGGTCTGTGACGTCACGCGCCACGCGCACCGTCAGCCGCAGCCGCCGGCGCAGCAACAGGAAGCGCCACGCGTCCGGCTCACACCCCTCACACTCGCACTCCCTACTGCTACATATAAACAAATAGAACTAAGCTGCCTGTACTCATATTATTACGAACAACATTTAATGGTTCCAATATATCTAACTTACCCCATGAAAGAGAGGGATTCAATCTGGCTCATGACGTCACTACAATCGTCGGTGTCGGTGCGGTCGCTGCGCGCGCCGACAGTTTCCTGCGAGTCCGCCACTGTCACCAGGCTCGGCATATACTCCATCTCTTTCATCGCGTTACTGCTAGTGAAGGACGTCAGCTCGGTGCTCGTGCAATCCTTCAAATCCTTACGGGATATCGTCTCGGTCTTCAACGTACTACAGGAACTCGATTCTAAATCGTCAACTGGGTGTAAAAATTTTTCTTTGTCCTCCTCATTCAATTTGCATACTGTTACGTGCTGTACTATTGCCGTTGTCCTCACTCTAGGTTTTGTATTGTTCAGAAGGTTAGTTTTGACACATCTTTTACCTGGTTCATTTTTAAATGGCTTGTTAAAGGATTTATTGGTTTCCGTCCTATAGTTTTCACCATGTCTCGGACTTGAGGATAACTTCTGCATCTTGCTAAGTGGTTTAGGTGTGATGTCGGCGACGCATACTTTGTACTGGTCATATTTAGCGCGGTGGTAGTTCCTCTTCTGGGCTCTAGAGGAATCAACGTCGCTCAATTCCAAACTCGATTCAACATTATTTTCAGCATCGTTCAGTTTGAATATAACTTTAACAGGTGATGCCTTCACTGGCTTGACAGGTGATCTGATTTTATTTCCGCTATCTGTTTCCTCGTCGACTAGAGTAAGGGATGAGCTGGCTTGTAGTAGATCTTTGTTACATTTCATAGCTATTAATGTGTTAACCTGAGCAGTTGTACTGGCGTGACGATTTTGCGTGTCTAAGTAAATTTCACCACCGATTTTATCATAGGATTCATCAGAGTTTTCACGTATAGTATTATTAAATTTATCTAAATGAACATCATTTGTATCAAAGTTGTAATGCGTAGAAATTCTTTGTATATCCATAGCCTCTTTTATTTGTTCTTCTAAAAAGGAGTTACGTGGTGATGTTTTAAAATCGTTTTTACCAGGTCCGGAATTAGGTGGTTCTGATTTTCTGGGTGAATATCTGTGAATATCTGTTTTACCGGATGGACATAAGATAACATTATTTAAAGGATTCTTATGATCAAATATTAACACTTGTTTAGTTTTTTTCTCGTTGTGCACGTGGCAGTCTACATCAGAATCGACAGTAGTGGCAACATCTGTAGCTGTATGTTGAACATCATCGTCATCATGTCGACGAGCTAATATTATATTGGATTCTGATACTGGATACGAATTTATATCGATGATATCTATTTGACTAGATGTGATTATATTCGTTTGCAACTCTTTGTTATCTGTCGCGTTGGATTTTCTATTTATCCTATCAACACCTGGCACATGGAAAGGCATCAGATCCGCAGACGGCTTAACCAGATCCTGCATTAAAGATTTGAGGCTTTCTGGGACATCATTCAAGAATGTAGGAATGACTTTAGCTTTGCTATCCTTTGATTCAGATATATCGACTGGAGCGATCTTTTTTAATGGAGTTGAATTTGAATTGCATTTAATTTCATCATTAGATTCGTCGAATTGTAATGTTTTTACAACATCTCTGCTCACGTGACCTGATTTACGACGTATATTGACCTCTTTATATACATCATCTGTGTCTTCGTCTGTCGCATCATTAGTAAAATAGTCTTCACTCTCTATGCCTTCCATCGCTTCTTGTGATGACTTTGGTATTTCAATATTCTGTTGTTTATCACAACTTTCTTTACTGTAACTAGTTTCTACGTCAGTTTTTTCTTGCATTTCAATAGGGACATCGATAATTTCTTTTGATGATTTACACGTATCCAGCTCCGGTTGGTTAGGCAAAGTTTTATCTGTGAAATCCGTCAACATTTCTAGTAGTTCTTTAGTATCGTCTGCCTCTTTTGGGTATTTGTCTTCGGTATCGATTTTGTTTTCAAGTGATTTTAAGTTTTCATCACTTTTGGTATCAGAATTAGAATTTTTCTCCTTAATTTGTGAGTCATTTTCTTTTTCATAACTCAAACTTAGCGGTAGCCGAGGAATATTTTCTGGTTGTATTATACAACTTCGAACTTCTTTATGATCTGAATTATGACTAGATTTCTTGGTTACGTCTTCCTTTGTTTCGTCTGAAGTACGCTCAATCGATTTTGCCGGTTCTACCTTTTTTTCGTTTATAATACAATCTTGGGCGAATTTCCCTAAAGCGATTTCAGATTCTAGACCTACCATTACATTTTTGTCATCCATCCCATCGACTGATATGTTCAAAGATTCACCTGACATGTTCAAAAGTTCATTTAATATTGACGTTTTATCATTTTGTTTTGATGACGTCACATCTGCCGTTTTCGTATCATCTGTATAATGTGATACATCCTGTATCAACAGACTTACTTCGCTTTCTTTCCCGGATTTTGATTTCCTCGTTGTATCTTCATATTTATTTATAGTTCTATCGCTTTTAACATCACCCTGTTCTGTTCTTAATCCTTGGTGTTTTGAAACATTATGTGTCGTTACAGCTTGATATACGAATACATCTTTATGTTTGTGTTCTGTTGTTGATTTGAGACTTTGCGTTTCTAATTTTTGATCAACACAATCAATGTAATTCATAGATTTAAGTAATGTCTCGTCGTGTTCGGATAACTTTGTATGGTCGTGACACATCATTGTAATGGACATATCTTTGTTATCGTTATCATTTTCAACTATGGTTTTCTGTAATTCTTCTTTAGCTTCCTGTAAAGTTCTTGATGCTATTGAATTTTTATATATGTGGTTATCTTCAATATTAATACTCGCTTTTGTCGTTTCTGTAGGCACTAGGATATCAATATTAGATGTATTAATTTTTGATGGCATATTGTCTTCAGATTTTGTCAGCATACCTTCACTCGCAGACACAGACGACAGTGGATCGATATTTACGTTTTCAAATATCAATAACGTATTGTCTTTATTAGATTTGTTTTCATTTAATATAATATTTGTTGGAATAACACGAGTAACAGATATATCTCCCATTTCATCATTATCAAAAACTATAGTGCCTCTTTTGGGTATACTTTTCCGTGGTATTTCATCTGATTGTAATATTTGCGTTATGGACATGTCAGAATAAGTTTTGGAATGTTCCAACTTTAATGAAGGTTCCTGAGTTATGTTATCTTTTATATTCATAACTTGTTTATCTGAATACTGACAAAGACTTTTTCTAGATATTTGCTGTGATGTAATATTTCCTAGATCTGCACTGTACGTGTTTATATTATTTAGTAGTTTAGTAGGTTCATGTATGGATGTTTTTTGTTTTAAAATTTCCTTCTGTTCTAATATTATGTTAGATGTAATAACTTGAGTCATTGATATGTCACATACGTTATCCTCATCACTTTTTACTGCAGTCAGATTATCGATTAATATATCATTTGGTGAATCAGTCGACATATTGGTGATAACATCACTTTTATAAGACAATCTTCTATCGTTTTCTCTCTCTGTGTTGTCGATATCTTTTTCATTATTTGGTATATTAGTTTCGGGTATGTTACAATGATCTTTAGAAACTTTTATATCAGAAATTATTGTGTTACTTTGTACATTTTCTTTATTAAAACTATCTCTGATGATTTCTGATAGATTTTGTACATCTGCTATTTTATTTGGATTATTATTATCAGAAATAAGTATATTTGATGGTAAAACTCTTGTTATTGATATGTCAGCTTTTTCATTATCAAATACTATCGTATTTCTTTTATTAGATTCGTTTGATTTATTTGAAATCAACACATTTTGAGGAACAGCTTGAGTGAAAGATAAGTCTAATTCACATTGAGATGTTGCTACAGATTTACTTGAGATAGATTTATTATGGAGTAATAAATTCATTGGTACAGCTTGAGTTATTGATATGTTATCAACATCGTAAAGAACAGTTTTATTTTGTGGGACAATTTTAGAAGGTAATGCTTGTGTCATAGATAAATGACCATTATCTTCAAAGACAATAGTTTTTCTTTTTTCTTTTTCTAATAATATATTCGTTATAATAGCTTGTGTTACAGATATGTTACCTATATCACCATTATCGTAAATTATTGTTTTTCTTGAATTTGACAAATCACTTTTGTTAGACATTAAATTTAGAGAAAAATCATTATGTTTCTGGTCACTCATTGATCCAACAGACGCACTGGATGCTGCAGGTACATCTATAAAATTAGGTAAATCATCATTCAAATTAAGGACAATAGTTTTTCTTTGCGGAGGTCGATCTGATATATCATGGGATAGAGTTTTATTAAAATCTTTTTGATTGAAATTATTTTTATTTTCCGATTGTATAGTTAATCTTTTACCATCAAATACTAATATTTGATTTGGTGTTTCATTTATAGCGAAATTTATACTTTCTTTTGGTGTTACGTAAGGATTAACGGCAATATTCTCTTTATCTAACGTCCAATCATTTTCTAAATTAGATATCTTATCTGTTGTTTTATAATTGAGTAATACTTCTTCGACTTGATTTCGTACTGTGTCTGTTATAGACATGTCAAATTCTTCGCATCTAAATCCGATAGGTTTAGTGTTAATATCAAATTCAATTTGTTCTGAATTCATTGTACTAAACGGTCTATTTAAATTATTTCTAGGTATTAATAAATCTTTTTCGATCTCGTCTAAATCGTAACATTTATTTTTAGATGCACCAACCGGTTCCAGAGATGAGAAATTTATATTAATCTTGTTGGACATTTCAGTTAGCATCGGATTTGTGACATCATCTACAAATATCTTACTCTTATGATCCGTTAGTGAACTTAATTCAAAATCACTCTTTGGAACTGCTAGATTTTTATCATCTAAATCATCTTCCAATGCTGCAAACTGTTGTGTTAAATTTCCACGTAAAGACATGTTTAATTCTTGTGCTATTGGATTATTTAATGTTATAATGCTACCGAAATTATAAAATTCTTCTTCATGAAATTGTTCTTCAAATATTCTCTTGCCCAAATGTCCTACTGTTTGTTTCGGTGGATTCTTTGCGGAATCATTTAATGAGGATTCCATTGATTTATTTTGTTCCACGTAAAAAGTCTTCCATGTGTTTGTTGCTTCATCTGTTATGAATTCACTGAAAGAATATACATTTATACATCTACTAGCTGCCGCCCGTGACTCTGTCTGCGCGGAATTAAAAAAAAAACTTAAAAAGTATCCTATGTTCTTCCATACTATATTCTACATAAGTGCTAAATTTAAAAATGATCTGTTGAGCCGTACCGGGGACCTTCAAACAAACATCCATCCATCTATATCAGTCTTTCCCAAAGTGGACGATAACGCCCCTTGTGGGCAGTAAGAGACCCAGAAAGAAAATGGGGGCGTTGTGTAGATGCCTGGGGGATTTTTAATTTTATTTAGCTAGGAGGCCTGTTAGACAACGACTGCATGAGCTCTCGACTCTCAACAACAACTTGTGAACATCAACTAATATGAATTAAAAGATTGTTTAAACTTTAATATGGGGGAGCTAAAAAAATATTTATTCTCAAAGTGGGCAGTAGACAAAATAAGTTTGGGAACCACCGATCTAAACTTTTGCATTTTTAATTTTAGTAAGATGTAACAAAGATTTAAACTGACTACCCTCATTTGTTAAAATTAGTTTAGTTATTTAAGATCTAGGTCACATTGGAACTCAGAAACCCGGTACATAAAGACAATCTAAAAGATACGCACGCTACGCCGGTACGTCGCGAAAAGCTGACGCGTCGGCTCTTGGTGGTATCAGGCGGCGTAGCCACATTGAGCTCCAGCTCCGTGAGAGGAGTGCGCGGTGCTCGCTGGCTCTTCAGTATGGAAGATCTACGTTTTCGGCTGAAATCAAATAATTAATAAAAAAAATTAATATAAAAGTTTTATTCACAAACATGCATTATAATTTAAGGCAACATACCCATACTACATGACTTATTTTTTTATTTTTTTAGTTTTTTCGACCCTACCCTCCCCTCGGTGACCTCTTAGTACATGGCAAGACCCCCTAAAGGTTTTACATAGTAATTTATAATTATTTTTAATCATTTCACAGGTAAAAATTGAAAAAGAAATAATTTGGCTCATACTCTTCTTTATAGCATAAGACTGCATGCATTCTTAAATTACTAGTGAATTATGTATTATGAAAAGAACAAGTAACAACTATGTGACTAAAATCTGAGCCCCCCCCCGCTCCTGTGACTGACCATAGTATTTTAAAGACTCCGCTTCCACCCCCTAAATGGGTATCATAGCATGAGTATGTTCCCGAAGTCATAGATTTTCTAATAACTATTGGTAGAATATTTTTTATTAAAAACAAGCTAACATCCATGATTCCGTCTACAGGACATTGCAAAAAACTTAATAAGTAGCCTATGTGTACTTCCAGACTATGTTATACATCTATGACAAATTTCAGGAAGATCTATTTAACTGTTCTCGAGACACCTGATTACAAATATCCATCTCTCCTTCATCCATCAAATAATTCACATTTATAATATTGTTAAGATAACTTTTAGCACTTCCTTTCCACATAAACTATATATATATATAAATTTCTTATATATATATACATATATAAGAAATTTCATATTCAACCATTCGCTTAATCTTAAAAGGTGTAAAAAGTTTTCGCTTCACATATATTATGATTTATGGGAAAACAATTAATCCAGTAGATATTGCCTACTACAACATCCTCAATATTCTAACACATCAACAATGACTTCATGGTTTACAATTTAATACTATTGTATTACTTTAGAATTTTTAAAAATTATAACAAAACACCACACTACCAACTTTTAATTATCTAAGCTTTATTCAATAATAATTTTCTAATACGGAATGGACAAATAATAAGAAAGATTAGCAACAATAGCTGTTTGTGAAGTCATAACAAAAAAGGGTAAAAATTAAAATGATTGTATGAAAATATTCTTAATTTTAAAACACAGTTATTAAAAGAGAATAATTTGAGCGAGGAATGTTTTTGATCGCATTATAATTTATGAAACAAAAACTTACGAAGCCGTAGCGTCTAAACCGTTCCCGTGGGTATCATCCATGATTAGAGTTAATTTTTAACTGTTCTCGTTTCATCCACTTCAAGTGATTACAAGTCTATCACTCTCAAATAAGTAATAACAATAAACACTAAACCACCATAATAATAAATGTTTAGGATTAGAAAATAAACAAGTTGAATATTAACGACTTATTTTTTGAATTGACTTGACACAAACTTGACAGTTATGTTCCTTTTTAACGCAAATCAATGTTGCCAGACTATTTATCGTGAAGTATGATTAGTTTTTATTAAATTTTTAATTTTCTTTTGTGGTATTTTATTCTTTTGGTTGTTAATTATAAAGATGATATCAAATTATTCAACGCCCAAAAACGAGAGCAACCAAAGAATGGTTTAGTTTCATAATACAGAGACTTCTAACGTGTTCTTCAATAACTATTCCTAATTAAAATGTATCATGTTATTATATTAACTTAAAAATAAATAAAGAGATTAAAAGTCAGCATTTAAAGATAATAAAATTGAAATTGAACAGGGCTTTTAAAATACAGAACAGTGGGATTAGAAATCATAAAGAGGGCACAAATGCCTCAATAATTTAGTAAAATTCTAAGGAAAAACTTAAATTTAATTCTTTAGATTGTTAAGTAGGTTTATAGTATTTATCGCGGATCACAGAAAATTTATTATTTTAGAGCAAAATTCTCATTGATGGTTGCCACATACCATTGTACTATATGGCTACGAATTCAATTAATTCTGTATTGTATCTATGTATTTGATCTTTCTGTACGCTTATCTTCGTGTTACGGATGTCCATGGGCGGCTTTGATCACCTCGGTGTTCCCGCCGCTCGTTTGCAACCTTCTCTTATTAAAAAATTGTGTACGCTATGAAGTGACGCCCTGTGAGTGAGCTTTTGTTCTATTTATGTATATTAAGGCAACTTACAAAACATATCCGGTGATAACAGTTGTAGTCGTGAGCAAGAGTATAGTACATACTCCGATCCAGCTGTTAGTGATGGCACAGCATACGTCTGGTGGTCCAGGCATTGGGAGCTGAACCACGTGGGCTCCGTGTTTGTCTACATTTCTGAAATTTAATATAAAACTATAATTTTTCTAACATTTTTATTGTTTATCACTGTAATTTATCACTGATCGTTTTGCATTGTCACTAATGCCATTTTGGCAGAAGAAAAAGATATTTCATACGGCCAGTGAGTGTTTTAATTTTCGGTTTAAATTCAAAAGAGTTGATAATTTAAATATCAATAAACTTTGCTGGTAGTTTAGATGGACCGCAACTAAATTAAATTAATTTAACTAGCATCTGGGCAAAATGGCCATCTGCTTAACTATAATTTGATAATTCCAAGGACAATGATTTTAAAGCCTACGCAAAAGTATAAGCTTAGGATTGAAGCAATCATTGACTATCATACTTTAATTTATAAAAAGCAGGAATACGAATATGTGAATACGATCTGGCCATACGTTGACTCATACGAACAACAGCACGGACGTCCCCGCCTTTGAGACCAGAAAAGAAAATAACTCACTCGATGGGTCAATTATTTTTATTGTTAAAATAAAAAAAACGTATAAGGAAATAAATTAATTATAAAAAAGGAATGAAGTTATTTGGTGTCCATTTCGCAAGTGTTAGTGACGTCGGAGTTTGACGAGCGGGTATAGCTCGATACAGTTGTATCCGACGCGCGGCTACAATGTCTGCAATGGAAACCAAAGTTTGAAATAACTTTAAAGGGAATTATAGGCCCGTTACTACCACAGGTCATAAGAATGAGAACTGAATATGAAAAATAGATATGCAGGAAAGAACTGTTTTAAAGTATACGAAACTAACAGCTGTTTAGAGCAGTTGATTTAAATTGGTACCACATTAATTTCCGACTGATAATACTCTTCATTCAAGCGATAATAATGCTTCCTTATATCTGTAATGATTTGATGCGAAAGCTCGCATGCTTAGGGCTAAAGTAGATTGTAAGCTCCATAACCTTTTGCAACATTTGCTCCTCGAATATGTTACATGCCTCTTCTTTACTCTACGATATCGCTTATATTCTTTATTGCTTCCATTACACATGCATTCTTCTTTATCACAATCTTTGTCTTCAAGTCGGCGTTGAAGTCGTTGTCTGTAGATGTCGCGTGAGTCTTTGGGGGTCACTCTCCATACATTTCTGTTCTTAGCAAGTTGGCATTTCTGAAAAATAATTTCATTATGCATTAGATGTAGACATAACGAGACGATTAACTTCCTATTTCCTCTAATATCGCGGCAAATATAATATTATTCAGAAAGCATACACAGTGATTAAAAAATCAAATGAACCATTGTTTACCTGTTTATTTTTTCGTATTTTACTGTTGATTTTTTTATATCTACGACTTTTCAATTGCCTAAATAGCTGCATATGAGAAAAGATGAAAGTAAAACTAAATGTTGGATTTTTATGAATTTTTACGTTTCATGATTTGGTCAGCTCACGACATTTCTTCTACAATGACAGAGTGTCACAGACAATAATGTGTGAGCAGGACCTGAGAAACACCTTACTCACCTTAAAAAAACTCCTATATTACTTAACAAAATTAAATAAGCTATAAAATACAGTCTCTTTCAGAATTATGCTTAAAATAAAGTTTTATTTAAGGTAATGAGGTAAGGTGTTAGATGGTAACACCGCAATTAAAAAGTACGCATCTAGGAAAATTGAAGACTCTATTTTATACCTTACAGTAGTATATTATGTAGGTTTTCCCGTTTTCCATGGATGAATGAATGTTAGTTTATGCAAATAATTTATTGGTTTTATATAATTAGATTTTTTTTTTTTTATTTTTGAATATAAATTAAAGACGTCTCAGTGTTTTGAGAAATTTTGAAATAACCGAACGTAATTGTCATATGACTAAAGACGTACTGAGTTACCAACATTATAAACAAGTCCTCCATTTTTTGAGGCAGCTGATATTTGTTTTAAAGTTTGTTCTTACAAATTTTATTCGATAACTGTACCAAAATGGGTGCTTCGTTTGTTCCCATCACCGTTTTCACCGTTCTGTGGGGCATAGTCGGTATCGTATGTCCCATTTTCGCACCTAAAGGACCTAATAGAGGGTAAGTACTTGACTTATAAGAATGTATTATTTCCTTGTACATTTTCCTTAACTTAATGTATCTGAATTCCAGAATCATCCAAGTGGTGTTAATGTTAACGGCTGCAACGTGTTGGTTGTTGTAAGTATTCTCAATAGTATATTTTTATATTATACACCAATGAAGTTGCCTATGAGTGTTTGCAAATAGGGCTATGATCTTATTGTGTTTATCCCAATAAAGTGTCAATCAATTATTATTTTGACGACCTGATAGCTTTTTCACTGTATAATACTCTTAAATGAGTGTCCTAGTCCCACTCTGTGATGTCAGCACACCAGGTTTTATCAAAGAATATGTGCAAGGCCAGTATGCAATTACTTTAAAAAATGATGAACCAATTAATTAACTTAAGCATGTATTGCCTGTCTATTCTATTCTTTTGTCAATCTGCTGCAGAGTTATGATTATTCGATCTTTTAGAAATTTGCTTTAAGATGTCTCTTCGTCTTTCCAGCTGGCTGTGTGCTTATATGGCGCAGATGAACCCGCTTATTGGGCCCAGACTGAGCAATGACACATTGATCTGGATCGCTCACACCTGGGTAAGCTAACCTATACTTGTGCCTAATAATCTTACTTATAACATAAATCCAAAAGTTTAGATGGATAGATGTTTGATAGAAGGGGGAACGGCAGAATGGATCTTGACGAAATTTGGCACACATTTAGAAAATAGTCTGGAAGAACATATAGACTACTTATTAAATTTTTTTTTATTCCATTTGTGGTATATATCAGCTAGTACTATTATAAGGAAAAAGACACATCTTGGAAGCTCTGTTTGATCTCTGTGGATCACAATTATAAATGTAGTAGGGAAGCAAGGCGAGGCATTGCACTGTGCAGCTGATCTTGAGCCACAAAAAATTCAGTTAACTATTATATTAACCCTTGTGTTCATTTTGTATAGTATACCATACATACAACTTTATAAAAAATATATACGACCACTATAAAATAATTTTTAACTTTGTTTTTGCTTTTCTTGAAAAAAGAAATCTTACTACAATAAGGGTTAAAAGTACAAATGTAAAAGTGTTTTTGACCAGCTAACTTGTAACCTCAGTACTAAAATATTCATAAAACAAACCCTGTTTTGTTATTTTATTGAAATTTTCTAGGAAACTAAAAGTTAAATATTATATTTTCACATGTTTTACTTTTTACTAATATTGTAAATGTTAGTGTAATGATGGATGGATGTTTGTAAGAAGGTATCTCCAGAATGGCTGCATGGATCTGGTTGAAATTCGGCATATATGTAGAATATATACTGGAAGAATACAATTTTTTTTTTAACTCCGGACAGACAGACGCGTCTTGTAAGCCAAATTCTAGAATGGATGGGAAGGTGTAGTGGACTTGGCGAGGGAGGCAAGGGAGATATCCTCCTCTGTATAACTGCAGATGTCCTTAGGTGTCATTGATCACTTTGGTGTTCCCGCCGCTCATTTGCCCTCATCTCTGATAATAAAAAAAAATCATAAGTTTGTCAGTTTAGAAACTCTTAATAGATGGCGCTTCTTGCATATTTTATTTGAATGTTTGTTATTATCAACGCCATCTGTTGATAATATTGCCATAAAAATATATAAATTTTATAATATTTTCTTGAACATTTATCTGTACTAATATAATAAAGTGTAAACACACACTTCTTTATAACGCAAAATCTTAGCAATCATAGCATATTTTTGAATAATTCTTTTTGTAATAAAAAGCCTTATACTTAAGATACACTTTAGGCTATATATTTTCACACCATTAAACTTAGTGGGTGAGTAAATGGAAAAAAAATTATGCGAGAAAGAGACAAAAATTGCAAACCAATAGCAGCAAAGATGGATAGTCTGTGGCTTTCGTTGTCTTTTGAGCATTTAAATTTTGACGTTTGCAATTTAAAGTTTCACGGAATGTTTTTTTTTCGACCGTTGCCCATAGACATCTACAATTGCAAGCTGATGCGTTGCCAACCTTTGACCGACAAAGGAGTAGATGCACAGAAAGAGAATATTTTCCCTTCCTATGCGTCCCCTCATCCGGATAATCCACTTCCCATCCTTTCTTTATAAGAGCAAGGGTGGGAAGGGAAAGGGGACTTAATAAGTCCTCCGAGACGCACACTCTTCAGACTGTACGCGGAATAGCTTCCACTTGTCGCCTGTCTTCTGTGTGGTCGTGGTATTTCACCGGGCGAGCCGGGACAATTCGTGCGAAGAAGTTAAAACGGACTCTACCACTGTTAAAATATAAACAATAAAACAAAGTTTTGTAACGGATAAAGTCATGGAATAGCTAGTTGTATACGTAAAGCGTTGTAATACTGCATTAGTTTCCAAGGCTACAAAATCCGTGGCGTCTGAGGATAAAATAATTTCTGCCAACACGTGCCGTCTATAATTATACCACTTTCATGTGACCACGTTATGTGAGTCACCATGATTTTGTTTTGTCTCGGATATTACATCGGAATAAAAACAACAACAAGTAGCCTATGTGTTCTTTCACGCTATGTTCTACATCGATGCTGAGTTTTAGCGGGATCTATACAGACGTTCTGTAGATAAATTCTATCAAACATCCATCCAAACATTCGCATTTATAATATTAGTAAGACTGAGTTATCCACAACTTCGTCGGCGTAGAATTAATAAAAAATAACAAGAATAGCTTCATAGTGACTATCGTATACATTAACTACGTTCCTATCAAAATCAGTCCTGTTCCGAGATTACCCGGAACAAACGCGGATTTGATTGGAATAACTCTTATTATAACAGCGTTAGGACGTTAGTATTTTGAATCCGCATCCTTGACACGGCTACCTTGATCCTCGCGAGCCCCGCGCTAAATTTAATCTATTAACTCTCTCTTAAATTGTAACCACGTTGGCGCGAGAATCGTTCGCTATGTATGTGCCAAATTACGATGAATAAACGTATTTTTAAATTGATAATTTACTATTAATAAGGTAATATGTTACTAGCTTTTGCCCGTGACTGGCCGCGCGGAATTAAAAAGAAAACTTAATAAGTAGTCTATGTGTTCTTCCAGACTATGTTTTATATATATGCCAAAATTCATAGAGATCCGTTTAAGTCGTTCTAGAGATATCTTCTAACATCTATCCGTCTATCAATGCTAACAAAGTCGACGGCGACAGTTAGTCTTGTTTATATTCAACGATGCTGACTTATTTAATATGTATTTAACGTTAAATATTGGTTTTTTTTCCAGGGCAACCCGTTAGAAGCTGGCACCAAGTAAAGAAGTGGTTGAGTTAAAAAAATAAAAAAAAATAAAATGTTTCTAATATAAATGTCGATAAATATAAATTTTTATGTTAAGATTACTACACTGATAAATATATGCTGGATAGGTCGCTGATTGGAAATGACAGCTTTTGCTTCGTTTCCACTAGTTGAAGCCACTATCAGTTTAATAGTTTCCAACACCACTACTAACCGCTACAATCAATCAAATAGGCACAAAATATCATGGCCTATAGCCTATCCAGGTATATAGAGGTCAGTTAACTTCAATATAAAATGATCATGTTTTATTAGAAGGGACAAAGGCAAACTGGTTGTACAGCCACCAACCATCGCAAAGTTTATCGACCTTAGTATTTAAAATATTTTTCTTTTTAAGGTGCTAATTTCTTTTAATAATTCGACTTGTAAAGCGTTTATTGAAAAAAATGAAATGTTTCTTTAAACTTTAAAAAGTTAATCATTCCATACTGAACGAATACTTGTTCGAATTGCAAAGCGTTTTTACATTAAGTGTAATTATTTATTATCTGTGTAAAATGTATTGAATTCTAGATAATTTGCTTAAATAAAATAATAGTCATTACCTTATGTTGTTTTTTTTTTCTGTTTCATTCCTATACTGGTAAAAATCGAAAACATTAGTTGTTAAAATGACGTTCACAGCTCACGCCCAGTCAGGGGTGCGAAACATTTTGGGAGTTTTTAAAAAAGAGAAAAATATTCCAATTACTAATAAAAATAGGCCTACCCTTCCTGACATCCTCTCTTGCTTAAAACGGCGTCAGAATTATGAAGTAATCGGCATCAGCAATATATTTGATAGACACACAAAGGTGTCACGTTGAGTACAATGGTTATATATCCCGGCCATGTTATTACGTCTTTGACAGCTTGTCAAATGTAAGTCATTTGGTTATTTTTTTTAGTCTGTTACGCAAGCTCTGAAAATGTTTGACCTACACTGGTGCTGCGACCTTGCGCGCTCGCATCCAATGCGTGATGAGTGGAATTGTTGGAGCGACGCCAGAGGGCGCGCGTATGGGCACGCGATCCAACTCCCGTCCTTTCTTATATAAGTCAATGTACGTACTATTTTAAAAGTCTATTGTTGCTTCAGAATGGACTAATTCATTGTAACTAATTATTTTACATTACTATTTAACATATCATTGGGAAATACAAAAGAGAAATATGGCGTTTTTATACACAATCAACTCAAGGATATGTGTTTCACGTATGTATGTTTGGTAGTCGAACCTGGATAAACGAGAGTCCAACGAGCCATGATATTACTTTCTCGCTTATAGAGGTTTCTCCCTAACCCGAGTTTCTCGCTTATGGAGGTCGTCTTCGGGACCAAACAATGACTCTCGCTAATAGTAGTTCTCATTATTACTTTCACGGAAGCAATAAGGATATTTTTTTTAATTATTTTTTTAAATGAACAACTGGTTTGATTTGTCTTCGGGGATGACAAGCTAGCCCATTTGTGCAGGATGTTTTGTCTAACAATAAATATCTCAGGACATCACCGGTTTTCAAAAATACATAAGTACATATCTTACTAATATTATAAATGCGAATATTTAGATGGATGAATGGATGTTTGTTTGAAGGGATCTCCGGAACGACTCCACGGATCTCGCTAAAATTTGTCATAGATCATAGTCTACTAATTAAGTTTTATTTTTAATTCCGCGCGGACGGAGTTGCGGACGACAGTACTAAATACGCAAGCAGTCGTTATTCGCTATCGTATGTACAATGGTATGTACATTAAATGGCAGCTGATAAGTCGTTATCTAGAGACGTGTTGGATGAACTTCATGATAAAGGCATTAGGCAACGAGGTCAATTACAACTATTGTGGAGTTTTCATTACTTTATACGCCAGGGAACACGAAGCTATTTGATTCGCGGGTCGCTCTATATCAGTCTTTCCCAAAGTGGGCGATAACGCCCCCTTGTGGGCGCTACAGGTTTCAAGGGGGGAGGTAAGAGACCCAGAAAGAAAATGGGGGCGTTGTGTAGATGCCTGGGTGGTGATTTGTGATTTTATTTAGCTAGGAGGCCTCTTAGACAATGACTGCATGAGCTCTCGACTCTCAACAACAACTTGTGAAAAAATATTTATTCTCAAAGTGGGCAGTAGACAAAATAAGTTTGGGAACCACTACTCTATATCATCATCAGCTCACTATACGCCGCCACTTAAGTTCGGGGACTACCCAAGTTAGGGGTGACTAGAGGTCGACCACGCTGGTCCAGTGCGAATTTGGTGGTTTCACACACATCTTTGAATTTCTTCGCAGATACGTGTAGGTTGCATCACGATGTTTTCCTTCACCATAAGAACGTCGGGTAAATGTACATATGTAAATCGAAAACTACATTGGCACATGGCACGATTCGAACTCAGAACCTGCAGATTGCAAGTTAATTGCTTATCCCCTGAGCCACTGACGCTCTATATCCTTTGACAACAACTGCGTCCAACTTTTGGGACTTTTGCTTCTTGCAATATTGAGTAGTGATTTGAAGAGACTGTTGACTTCGACTACCGGGGATTTACTTAAACAGCTTTAGTAAAAAAACAAACTGAAAAAACGGCAATGCGTAGATGTATAACAGGCTGCTTTCTTGTATGAAAGTTGTAGACATATTATGTGCAGGCCGTGGCTTGTTCAACCCTGCTGCCTGCTATGTATAAATAACTTCAGTATTATTATTATTTTATTATGACTATGTGCTAGTTAAAACAAGTTACGACATTTAATTCATATACAATGCAATTTAAAAGAAATTGAGGTTTAAAGTATTTTTTATAAGAGATGTGGGCAAACTAGCGTCTGGAGCACCGAGGTGATCAACGACACCCATGGATACCAACATCAGAGGAACTGCAGATGCGTTTATGCAGATTTTCGATTGATCAAATTTGAACATTCATTTTTATTAAAAACGTACTATAGTAGATACTTTTTCAGATGTTTATGGCCAGCGGTCACTTCGATATTTTACTGAAATTAGGCTTGCAACCGTTTATAAAAAAAAAAGTTTTTCATAAACGGTGTTTTTCATAAACAAATATGACAACGGTGCATTACATATTTCAAACTCGAAATATGTAATGCACCATCGATATCTTATAAATATTATAAATACGATTGTTTGGAGTGATGGATGTATGTTAGTTACAAAATATCTTCACAACGGCTGTATGGATCTTACTGAAATTTGCCACATATGTAAAACACAGTCTGGAGAATACACACATAGTTTTTTTTTTAATTCCTTGCGGACAGAGTCACAGGCGACAGCAAGTATTAAGCATTGTTTAGACTACAGTCAACATGACCCACGTGTCGCAAGTCACGTGAGCCGGTGTGTCGTTACTGAGGTGTCGTGTCGGTTGGTAACGACTAACGATAATTGTTTCTTACAATTGAAAGTGTAAACACAGTCGTATAGACGTCATTATTGGTTGGAAAGACTGCTTCATACCTGCTACTTTAGATTTTTTATTTCAATATTGCTAATATTGAAATGTTTTATGAAAGTACTTTGAATAACTAAAATTTCCGTACGAAAACAAATGAAGATGGTGTTTTCATGTTTCCCATCTTTTTACGTGCTTAATTTTTTATACCTCGCAGGGAAAGGAACCGATTTACTCCCTCTTACTGATTAAACACCTAACAGAGAAATCTTTCGCATCCATCCATGATCCCATTTGCGCCAGCCGCCTTCGAACAATACTTGCTATTATAGAAGCCAGACGCCGAGGCAGCTGCGTGCTTGATGAGGAGAAGCCTTCCCCAAAAACCCACCAACAGAACACCTACGTTACGTCATTATTCAGAATTATGCCAAGAACTATAATTTGGCGCTAAAATAAATGCTTGGCGCCATTATGAGTTTAATACTTACGTAAGGAAAAAATGTAAAGATTATGGAAGTACACAGAGATTAATGTAAATTCGGCGCTATAGTAAAATATTATCGCACGTCACCGTTACGTAAATCTTTGCGTGTTAAACGGAAAATGTTCGGAACAGTTTCCTTCAGTGGATCAATACAGCGGATTCGTTACGTATTCCGACCTTGCGGGTTTCGACTCTCTGCGACTATGACATAACACGATAATATCTTTCAATTTAATGAGGTACATAAGATGAATTGAAATTGGTTCTAATAAGATCTTATGATCATCAATTTATGTGTGATTAACATCGAATACGCATATGTCAGATTCATTTTCTTACCATAATAAGAATTGGTCGAGACTTCCAATCTTTCTGGATCTCCCTTGATCCTTTTCTACATTCTTCATGAAGGCTAGAACAATAAAGAGAATGAAGGAAAAGTCTTTGAAGGGCACATATCTTTTTTATCCTTTAATATTTTATATAACATCATAGATCTTTCACTAGCAAATATGGATGTATATCCATTTAGAATATGAAGAATATTATGTATTCGAGACTATTTCGTATCCGGTTTATGAAAGGATAGCGTAGCTATTATCTACCTGTATAAAGATAATTGTATCAGTGAGGTTATGTAATGGCTCGCGCACCATTGTCCGGCGCCGTGCGGTTGGCAGCCCTGCTCAATCGATGCTAGGCGGCAGGCGGCAGGCAAAGGTCGCGACCTGGTTGTCTGCACTCACTGTACTAGTTTAGGACGAAGCTTCGAGGTTATTGATAATAGAATTTAATCTCATCTCTTATACTTATAGTTATTGTTAAGACTCAAACAACTAGTTCAATAAGTTATCGAAACTATTTGTAAGCTAAACATAGTGCATAGTACATTTTTTTCTCAGCTACATTGCATTAATCCAAGCTGAAGCTCTGGAGGCTCCTTGTTAAGTTAGTGATAGATTCAGAGCTTAAGAAACTATACTAATTTTGACAAATTTATTGTTTTAAAATAATTATAAAGTTGGCTCAGATATCAAAATGTTAGGTAAGAATTCAGAGGGTTGGTGCCAGACAGGCGCAGGCCATTTTCTCATTCGCATAAAACAATTTTAAAGTTTTTCAAGTACTGTCGACTTGCTTCCCCTAACGGCCTGGAAATCTGCCAGGTGATTGGCGTCTAGACGTACTCCTGCAGTTTTACGTAACGTAGACTTCAAAATCAATGTCATTATTTCTAACAACTATATTAAAAATTATTATGACGCCATTTTAGCGTATTCAATTTTATTACCTGACTGACAAGAGGGTAATATTTTTCGCGCGTATGTTTTTCTTTATTTTGTACATATGGATTTTACGTTATTAATGCCATAATGACCTCCTTTTAGACGAGTTAACGAAATTAAGAGACCTGTGTCGAAGTTGATTGTACTACCAGTTACCTCTTAAGCTAAATATATAGGTTATGTTTATGAATAGTTCTTTATTGTTTGTTTATTTAGCTTATAAGTTGGTTTAACTTTTAATTTTATATACAAGATGTTCTTTATTTAAGATTACATAAGTCTGAATTTTTAACCCACCTATGTTGTCGGTGGGCTGTTTAGTTAAGAAGCAACAGGCACATGTCAAGGTATAGTTTTATTGAAGATTGTTT